GACTGACAGGATCAAACCTACTGACTTAATTATTAATGTCCATTTTCCCAAATATCCACGAATAATGAATCCGCTCAGAATAGTCTTTATCTAAAAAGTGATATCTAAGCATAATTTAAAAGTAACTATATTCTCTGCTTTCTCCTTCCTCCTGTATATACCTCAGGAATTCCAGAACCACAAGCATATGGTGCAAACATTCTTACTAATGATGCAGAAAGCGAAGCAAACAAGAGAGCCCAAGCAATATAAAACATATACGAGATCATGTAAGGTCCTGCACCATCTTTTGATTGACTAAATACTTCTGGCCATGTCCGCCACTAGAAAGAAATTGTAAATTCAAACATTGTAAGATATGAGAAAGAGAAAAATAAACTAGATATACCTGAGAACAGTTACCACCATCGAAAGTTGTTTCATTGTAACTCCAACAACATTGCTCTTTATTTAACCAAAATGCTTGTGGACATATACCAAATTTTAAATCAGTCATCCAGGAAGCCCCTATATCTATGATACCTGCTGCAACTCCTGTAAAGAGACCAACTAGTAAAACACAGAGCCATCCAGACCATGCATCATGAGCTCCCTTGATTAAACCCAAAATAGAATCATGCTTTTTCTTCACAATATAACGATGCCGCATTCTATCTCGAGCAATATCTCGTTGCCAATCAATGGTATGGAAGTCATCATATTGACCAATTCCGGGAATATCATCCGAATCGACTGAAACTACAATAATAGGGCAATAGAGAATAAATTTGATTTTTATTTCCAGTAAATTATACATTGAAAAACCATTATATCGTACTCACTGTGAGAGGAAGCATCATCGATACGAATACAGTGCTCGGAAAGAACGGTATTCTCCCCATGAGAACCTACATTATTAACTTCCAGCATGTCGTCGTCACTGCTTAAATTAATATCACGTCCAGTAGTTCGATTTCGCGATCGTGCATCCTCTACAAAGTATACATCATCTGAATTTTCTACCTAAAATCAATCAAGATTTTACTATTACTATTACTTTTTTTATAATTATTCACTTCTTAAAATAATCCATACAGGATTTTATTTTAGTATTACCTTTGTATCAACTGACTGGTATGTAGTTAATGAATGTTGATGATTTTGTGGTATTGTATTATTTGATAATGTTGTACCTTTCAGTGGAAATTTCTCCATGGTATTGCAACCTATAAAAGAAAATTAAAAAAAAAAATGACTAATCACTAATGGTTAAAATAAAATTTTTTATATCAAAATAAGCTAAATGCTAAAAGCAAAATGATTTTAGCTATATAAATTGGCTAATAAAAATTACCACCTTGAGTACTTTTGGAACTATATAAGTAAAAAAACAATTTTTTTCATTATTTAAGATGGTAATTTTTATTGGTTTACTCTGTGCCAAGTAAAATATTATTTATAAAACACTGTTTTTTCAGTTCTTATTAATAAGTGTATTTATAAAATTGGTAAAAGAAATCAAAAACATGTACTAACTTAATTTAAACAGTTAGTTGTTTTATATTATAGTTAAAGCACTTGAAACTTCATTCGGAATAGCACAACCACTATTGACTATAGTACTCGCAAGCATATTAAAAGTAATGTCTTTTAAGGGATTATCTTATATTCAGGCTGTATAATCTATTGGATCATACTGATGAATAATACATAAAATGATTACCTTGAAAATTACAATATAATTTCTGTTATCATAGATCATCTATTGTATTTTACATTATTTTTGATATTTTTTTTATAATAACATATGATCACAGAAAAAAATGACATATATCTTTGATTTTTCAAAATTTTGAGTCATGTACCAATTATCAAAGATATA